TCGTTTCCGAAACACATCAAAACGTTTCTGAAACACGTCGAAAGGTTTTCGTTTCCTAGGTGACTGAAACATTGTCGAAGTGAAATTTTAATCTTTGTTTGCATTTGAATTACTTTCTTAACTCTCAATTAAGTGAACTTAAATAATGTTTAGTTTGTTCAACATCTCAATAATTATTCAAGAATCATTATAAAACTTTGTTCTCCCTTTGTATATCTTTCCCTATCTCTCTCAATGTTGTTAATTTGGATATATTATATAATGAGATTATCATGTAGCATTTTCATAATATGAAAAGTACTCGGGAACAATAGTAAAAGTAAGGTAGTTTCATTGTGACCTAACCTTCAAGGATTCAAATCACAGAAACATCGTCTCATATGCGGGGTGAGACTGTGTACATCTATCTGACCCTCCTTAGACCATACAGTTAGGAGTGTTAATTGAGTCGAGTCTTCCGAGCATGGGTATGCTTAGGCTTGGCCCGAGTTTTCAAGCTCGGCTTAAGTTCAGATATCAAGCCCAGATTTTTATTCAAGCTTGAGCCAAGGTCGAACCAAATCCAAGCTCTAAGGCTAAAACACACAACCACAATCCAAAAATGTAAAATCTCATACATGCAAATATCAAATCACAAACCCCAAATAAAAATTCATAAATTTAACATAAAAATTAAGCAAACCCAAATCTCAATACAAACCCTAACAAAAGAAATTCAAAAAATTAAATAAAACTTCTAAATATAAATGGTATACATATATAATCCTATACATTAGACGACCAGTGATGATGGGATTTATTACTCTAGCTTCTGGTACCAACCAATAGGGATTTATTAGGGGTGATGATTTAATCTAGAGTTTGAGTCATGCAAGTGATGACTATGGTAGTTCTTTGGAGATTTAGAAACTCAAGTTGAGAGAGAGTTGATGAGAAGAGACATGGATGTTGTTAGAATCATGTTTGTAATTGGCTAATTTTGTGTAGTCTTATGAAATCTCAACCTAATTCTATGGTCATCAATCAAGCTTCAAAGACCAAGATCCGTCAATGACAAGGAAAGGAAGGAGATCAAGCTACAATGCTATATCAAGATCACTCCAATGCATCTTCAAGTTTAGGACAAATGTAATGATCTTAGAGACCTATGAAACCCCTAGTTTAATTCATTAGACTTAGGATGATTAGGGAATAAATGAAATTGAAAACAATCCGTGTATGACTTCTAGAGTTTTTATTGAAAAATATTTTCTAAACCTTAAATGTATTTTGAAATGATAGGATGAGTCATTTATCGGACCTACTTGAGCAACTCCCTTAAGTGCTTAAGGGACAAATTTTTGTTTGGTTTTAGGCTTTAAAATGGATCGCTCTCTCATCGCTTGCCTTTGGCTAGTGAGGTCTCTAAGTACTTGGGGATAAAATTGAGAAAGACTGATGAGTTGCAAAGTAGAGACCACCCTTTGGGTCGTTCTTAGGATGCTCAAGCGGTCTTGAGAATGCTCGAGTAGTCTTGAGGTCGCTCAACTGGTCCCTATTCTGCCAATTTGGTTTGAATTCTCTTTTCATTCCAGCGAAAACCGCCTTCCCATTGCGTGAGCGGTCACTTGCGAATTTTAGTTTACTTGGTCCCAAGACAAATCTTATTTCTCGCCTATAAATAAAGGGAAGTTTTCCTATGCTAAGGTAAGCCTATTGTGAGTAAAATTATGCCTCTTAGACATTTGGAGAGCTTAGGAATAAACCCTAGATTCCTAAATGCAATGGCTTTTATTTTCATACTCTAATCCAACTTCACACATTAGAGAAGATGATCTTGGTTGAAGATCACCAAAACCCACTTGACGGAGTGTGCATACCAAAGATCTTGGTGGAGAAGATTGCTCGAGACCTAAACAATCCATTGCAATGGAGAATTCAAGTGAAGCTATCCATAACATTGAAGAGAGACTTTTGGTGGAGAGATCTATTGAAGAAAATGAGTGTCTCACCATGGTATTGGTCTTTTTCTAAAAAAAGTCATGGTTTTGGTTGAGGTATAAAACTCAAGTACTTGTAGATTAACTATAGGATAATAGATTAGGTTTTGGTGAACCTCGAGTGGTTCCCCGCGGTTTTTCCCCGAGAAGGGTTTCCGCGTCAACAATTGTTTGTCTCTTAATTGCTATATTTGCTTATACACTTGCAATTGATACACATGCATACTATGTGTTTGATGTTTTGATTGTTTAGTTTTTAATTCATTAATAGTGATTTTGGGGATTGTTGCTTTGGTTGGGATCATCGTGAGAGATTGAGTGTTAATCGTTGATCGATATATTCACACCATCAATATACATGACATGCTTGGGTTGTTCTTTTTGAAAAGGGGTTCTCATGCTCCATGGATTAATTTGAGAAAGGGTAATTGTGGTCGAATTAGGTTAAAATTGATGTTTGCTCGTTTGCTAAATTTTAATTAACCTATTTAGTCCTCTCTAGATAGTGTCTTAATTCGACGTGTTTCATCGTGAGGGACGATCTATTATGCATTATTATTTTTTCCAGATGCAAAATAGAGGAAGGAGTAAGAGAAAAATTTCTTGTGAAGAGATAGAGTGAGAAAGAGAGGTCGTTGGTCGAAAAGATTCCTTAGACAAAGGGGTATTGGAATGAGAGAGAGAGCAGGGTGGGGGGGGGAGAAGTTAATATCACATGGGTGGGAGGCAAGTGATGGAAAAAAGTAAATGTATTTTATTTTTCTTTTTACCTATTTACCCTTAGAGATAGAGTGAGAAAGAGAGGTCATTGGTCAAAAAGATTCCTTAGAGAAAGGGGTTTGGACCGAGAGAGAGAGAGAGAGAGAAGTTAGTATCACATGGTTCGGAGACAAGTCATGGAAAAAAGTAAATGTGTTTTGTTTTTTTTTTTTTCCCACCTATTTACCCTTAGAAGTCTTTACTAAGTTTCCTTTGTACCGGTGGTAAAAATGTGAAGGATAAATGAACCGTCTCGCGAGTAGCTCAGCTTGGCTCGAATACAAAATGAGTTTGAAAAATTGGTCAGATTAAGCTTGTTTTATACAAAAAACGAGCCTGAATGATTCCAGCTCGAGCAGCTCAGTAATGTTTAAAAACCCTACTTGTAGTAGGTGGAGCCCACCTCTTTTTATTTAGTATGGTTCGATTTTTTTAATCTTACTATTGTTAAAAGAGCAATGCTATTAGGTTCTAATTTGGAAACCTAATTTGAGGATCTAATGTATTGCCACAATTGAATTACCAATGAGTCTCATTGTCTTAGTATTGCAACCTATTTGCTAATCCCACGATAGCAATATATTAGTTCTCTAGCTTTGATCCTGAATAAAGTAAATATAGTAGTATAGTTGTTAGAATTGTCCCCCATTATTGTTAAATTTTTTGATCCGCTTCTATGTACAATTGTGAGACATCTAAAAAGACTTCAGGAAAGTGGTTCATTATTAGGACCTCTAGCTCTCTTGTCGTGGTTGACTTTTCTAAGGCTGATTTGGCTTGTAATTGTTTGGACCAGCATTCAATATCATGGTATTGTGTATTTATTAGTGGTAAGTCAATAATGTGGAAGAGCAAGAAACGTAATGTTATAGTTAGGCGTGTCATCGAGTAGTAAAGAGCTATAACTTACGACACGTGAAATAGTCTGGGCAAATCCTTTGTTGTAGGAAATGGGTATTTCCCTAAAAACTCATGAAAATGTCTAGGGACAATCACAACTTTGAATATTGCTTCTAGTCCATTATTCTATGAGAGGATTAAGGCTTAAGCATGTAGAAGTTGACTGTTATTTTGTTGCATAGTTGATAATGGGTATATAAGACGGTTGACATTTTGGCGTAGTGGTAAGATTGGTTAATCATAAACTAGGTGTCATGAGCTCGAGTCGTGGTTATAGCACTCCCAGACTACAGTGGTGGGAGCCTTTGTGCACAAGGCTGTACTTTTTTATTTGGTTGTGAGTAAACATATATCAACTACGTATGTGAGGTCTGGAGATTAGCTGAATGATATCTTTGCTAAAGTTGCTGGTAGTGGACAATTTAGCTCAACATGATGGATATCTATGCTCCAGTTAGAAAAAGGAGTGTTGAGTTAGAGTTGGGGATAGTAATGTAGTAGTGCTTTTCAATGACTCAATATGCAAGTTCCAAGTCATCCCACTTATGGGCTATGGATTCTCTTTCAACCTCTATCTTCTTTTCTCTCATATCTCTAATACCTAAACTGTAGCTACGAATCAAAATTCCGTTTAGTTTCTATCAAAATGACACTTCAGTTTTGGTGAAAATCAGAATGATACTGTGATGGAAATTGAAGTTCCTCTATTTTGATATGTGAAATGTTTCTAATGTTTCGGAATGTTTTTGACCAATATTTTGGGATTACAATTCCAATTTTTAAGCACAACAGAGACATTACATGTGAAAACTTTTATCGAAGAGGCTCCAATTTTTTGAAACCTAATAGAATATCTCTAAAATGGAAGCCAACGGGCCTTTGGTCCAATGATACTCCTTACGTTGTGAAGGCTTGCTTTCGTGAGGTCAAGAGTTCAACCCCCTTCCCCCTACCCCTTCCAAAAAAAAAAAAAAAATTTAAAGGAAAAAAAAAGTTAGTTGAACTTATGTTTCCAATTACTTCTAAAACTTTTCTGGAATACCATCATTGAACATAATTGGTGGCTGGGGAACTGGATTGAGTAACTAAAAAGTGTCTTACCCTATACTTAATGTTCCTGCACACTCTTTTGCTTCAAAGAGAGACCTTGAAGGTAGACCTCCATATAATAAAGGAACCCCACCTCACCCTCAAATGGGATGTTTATACTTCCAAGTTCCAACTCTTCTTACTCTCTAACTGGAATTAACTTTGTTCCCCACTAGTTCTCTCACAACCAGCTGCTCAAAACCAAGAAGCACACATCTAGCCCTAGCTTCTCTGCTTCTGTCCCTGAGCTTCTGGTCTCATCAGTATGCAAAGATGAGACACAGATACTGTTGTTCTCCTGTTAGCTGCACACATGATTTTTGTAAATGAGCTCGGAAGTACTGCATAAATTTATTCTCACTCTCTCTCTCTCTCTCTCTACCCGCTTGTTTTGCATTTTCCACTCTTGCTTTCCTGAATTTGGCGTTGGGTTCAGGATCCAAGTGATGTCAGAGACAATGTAAGGGAATGGCTCTGTAGGAGTGAAGCTGATCAACGTGATAAGTTGTTAGCCTGTGGGACCCTTATTGTTGCAGAACTTAGGCTGCTGGTTCTAAAAGAGACTGAATTCACTTGTTCTGCTGGCATTGCTCATAATAAGGTTGATTATATGAATTTTGGTGCATCATGTAGAGAATATATGAGTTCAGTAACTGATATATGGTGCTGTTCAACTCTATTAGCAGATGCTGGCCAAACTAGCAAGTGGTATGAATAAACCTGCACAACAAACTGTTGTACCATTCTCATCTGTCAAGGGATTGCTTGAACCGTTGCCGATAAAGAAAATGTAAGTTACTGCTTCAAATGTACTCAACCTATGTCGTGTATAGAATGAAAATGAATCCAAGATTTGTGAATTTATTTCCAAAACAGTCTTGAACTTTGTCGAAATATATTGAATCATCTTGAAACACCTAGAAGCATTCCGAAACATTGGTGGAGCAAAACAGCCCAAAACATCTCGGATAATTGGAATTTCGATTTAATCACTAATTCTTTTTGGTCTCCTTGGAAACATTAATGTTTTGGGAGTTCTGGCCTTTTCGAAACAAAATTTTGGTCCTTGGTGTAGTCCTTCTAAATCGCAAGATTGAGCTGAAAAGGTGTACTCAAACTAAAAAACTTTGTAATTTAACTTATTCGGAGATCATCCACTTAGTACACAAAAGTTTTTATTCACTTCTCTCTCTCTCTCTCTTTTTGTTTATTTTTCGAAATCAATATTATTCCATTTTTCCCTTTGGTGAATGTCTTTTTTTTCCGGAATATTTTTCTGGTGGATATCATTATATGCATGTAGGTCTAAAGGTAACCCATTGTTTAATCTGTTTTGAGGCAATGCAGGAAACAGCTTGGGGGAAAGCTTGGGAATTCTTTGCAACTTGACCTTGGTGTGAACACTGTTGGGGATCTATTGCAGTTTTCAGAGGAGAAGCTACAAGAACATTATGGGATAAATACTGGGTGATTATCTCCCATCAGTTGTAGATATAATGTTTACAATGTCAGCAACACTTAGATCATTTGAATTAAGCATATACAACCAAATATTTCCTATAATGGCAAAATGGGATTCTTTTGCTCATATTCCAAGATCAATATAATATTGATATAATATTACAAGCTTGTATTCCAATTACTTTCCATTATGCTGTCTTTGACTTTTCATTCCCATAGAACTAATTTTTTTTTGAATATTGCCAATATTTCTGATAGAATAAATTTTGTCACCTTTTTTTTTTCTCAAAATTTTATTGAATTGTCCTTTTCTTGTTGATAAATTATCGTCAATTCTTGAGATGATAGTGATATCATTTTGTTTGGAGTTTATTTTTCTCTGTTCAAAGATTTACTGGTAAATATTTGAGTAGGATTTGCTGCTATTATTTGTACACATTTAGGATGTTAGGCCTGATTCTACGTTTTACTTGCATTTTATTACTGTGTTATGGACTGATTCTATTTCTGCACTTGCAAAGCAGTACTTGGTTATGGAATATTGGGAGGGGAATCAGTGGGGAAGAGGTTGAGGGTCGCCTTCTTCCCAAGAGTCATGGTGCTGGGAAGACATTTCCTGGACCTCGGGCCTTGAAAACGATTGCTTCTGTAAGTATTTTTTCTTCAAGGATGATTATTGCTTCTGAACCATGTGTTCTTTACCATTCTCATAGTGATCCTAACTCCTCATAACACCCTGTGTAGTACTATAAATCTAACAATTAGGTCAGAAATCTAGGTCTGTGTGACTGCGTTCCAAATTTCATTTTGCGCGCATGTAAGTAGCCATTTCTGATTTCTGACCTTATTAAATGTAACTCCTCTTGCTTCTTACTTCTCGAGTAAAGGGTCATCGTTCTTTGATCTTACCATCTAGATATTCACCCCTAGAAAAAGCTGGTGAAAACTTGATTGAGTGATCTCACATGGTCTCACTTTAAAAAAAAGAGAAGTCATGTATTATAATTGGAGTGATTAGAGGGAGAACAAAGTGGATTTATGAGCTAATTCTGGCATGAGAGGACCAATGAGATAGAACACTGTTGGATGCATTCCTTCGCTAGCAGGGCTTTGGCCCATCTCAATTGAAGAGTCTTCGGTCAGTAATCTCGTACTCTCGATTGGCTTGAACCACTACGTTATCCTTATGGAGGCTCATTCGTATGCTTATCCTATTCATGTCACCAGAACCTGTAAGAAACCATCTTTCTTGTACTCTTAATAAAGAGCATCAAAGGCTAAGACCAAGGCAGGTAATTGCGCTCGTCCAATTTCTCAGTTGCAAATTGGAGAGTAGGGTTCTCATTCAGAATTTCTAGGTTTCCAATTTGACTAACTATCCTTGTTTCTTGGTGTGGGAAGATCTCACTTACTTTTGACATCTTGAAAGACTCTTAAACATGCCTCAACAGACTCAACACACACCAAAATAAAAAACCAGCAACAATACAAAGGGAAAACCAAACCGCCACCTCCGAAGATCCTACTAAATTTTATTGCAGAGTCTTAGGCATAACATCATCACAAAAAGTTCCAAAAATCAAACTACCACACCATCTGCAACCCTAAAACCAACTGCAGTATCACTTTTTTGCATTAAATATCTTGAAATCTTGCTCAGAAACCATTGGGCAACCTTTATTATATATCTTCGGAGGTCTCTGGTTCATACTCATGGAAAAAGTTGCCCCAAACAAGGTCTGGGACTGAAATTCCAAAGAATAGCCCAAAAATTTCCAAAGTTCAGGAAACTTTGGAAAAATGCATCCAGAACATGGATCAACTCCAAAACTACTACTCTCCAAGTCTGCCAAGCAGGTATTTCCAAACATTGACCAATACTCTTTCTTTGTACAGTGGCGATTAAGAAATGCTAACCATGTTTTGATGACATGTTAATTTATTAAGTTAAAATAGAAAAAATAATATTAGGGTTAGAAGGATGTAGAGGGAGGAAGAAGAAAGAGAAGAGAAAGAGAGGCAGTAAAGAATAATCTTTGTGTTACGACTTCTTTGTTGCCCTACGCCTTTGTATTTATAACTAATTAATGTTTAGGATAATTACAACATTACCCTACACCAAGGATCAAAATTTCGTTTCGAAGTACCGTTTCGGTCAACTCAAAAATAGAAACGTTTCGGAAACATTTCGGAAACGCAATGGAAACGCAGAAAAAATATGGAAACGCATAGAAACACAAATGCAATCCATTAATTTATAAAGATATGCTAAATAATTTATTAATTAAACATATTTATTAGGTTAACATCAATTTATACAAGAATAAATTTAAATTTGAGGGAAAAAAAGGCTTGACTTGAGGCGAAAGTCACTTAAATTAGTTTCAAACACTTAATTTTTATTAAATAAACACATTTTTACATAATATTAAGGTCTTATAATACACATGAAATGCTAATGAGTACATACTTACATGGTTACATCCATTCCCCTGTGGAGTGTCGAGCAGGCTCATATATCGGTGTAGGCTCTGGGTAGCTACTTAGAGAAACTCCATATGTGACATAAATATGATGACAATAGTTACTCCAAATCATATTATTACGGTAATACAATCCAATTAATAATACTATTTTATTATAATACTAATAATGAAGGGTATTAAATTAAATTAATGATACTTATGTATACTTAAAAATTAAATGTAATTGCAGTGGGTATTAAATGTAATTACAGTAGGTATTAAATATAATTACATTAGGGTATTAAATGTAATTGTTAATACTTATAACAAAAAAAAAAAGCAAAAAACTTGCACAGCAGTGAGGTATTAAATATAATTACAGTATGTATTAAATATAATTATAATGGGTATTAAATATAATTATAGTAGGGTATTAAGTGTAATTATTTATTCTTATAACAAAAAAATTATAAAAGACAGAAGAGCAGTGGGAATTAAATGTAATTATAGTGGGATATTAAATATAATTATAGTGAGTATTAAATGTAATTACAGTGGGTATTAAATGTAATTATAATGGGGTATTAAATATAATTATTCATAATGAACCGAATATATCACTGTTTTGTCGAAACGGTACTGTTTCGATCGAAACGGTTCGAAATAATGCCGTTTCGACCGAAACGGTCCGAAACAGTACCGTTTCGACCGAAACACTGGAATTTTGTGATTCAACTACTGTTTCGTTTCGGAGTGTTGAAATTCCGAAACGTTTCGGACGTTTCGGACGTGTCGACACGACATTTTGATCCTTGCCCTACACTAACTCCCTAAATTATGACTTGATATAAAAAATAAGAACTCTAACACTCCCCCTCAAAATGGAGCATAAAGATTAAAGATGCCTAGCTTGGAACATAAACCATTGAAGGTAGATCGAACTAATGGCTTTGTAAAATATCACCCAACTGATCACCAGACTTAACATATGGAGTGATGATCTCATTTCACATTAATAGATCTCGGATGAAATGACAATCCACCTCGACGTGTTTGGTATGCTCATGAAACACCGATTACTTGCAATGAAAATAGGTGCTTGGTTGTCACAATGCATCTTCATTGGGAATGACACATATCACGAAGTAATGAATGAACCCATAACATCTCACATGCAGTGTGAGCCATAGCACGATATTCAGCCTCTACACTAGAACAGCCAACCACATTCTACATTTTACTGCGCCCGGTAACAAGATTCCCACCAACAAATGTATAATGACCAGACGTAGATTGTCTATCACTATGACTACCTGCCCAGTTAGCATAAGAAAATTCAACAACTGTTATGGATGATGATGGGTGATACAATAATCATTTCCCTGGGCCTTCTTCCTGGTATCAGAGGATACGAAATGCAGCCTCCTAATGAGGCTTTTGAGGAGTGTGAATATATTGACTAACTACATCAATAACATATGTAATATTAGGACGTGTAACTGTGAGATAAATCAGTTTACCAACTACCCTTCGATAGCGTCCTACATCATCAAACACCTCACCATTCTTAGGATCACTTGATGGATTGGAAAGTAAAAAAGGGATACAAACTAAGTGTAGAGCCCCATATATATAGCCAATGAAAATACAATAAGGATAAAAAGGTAAAAAATCAAAATTTATAATAAACCCTAATAAACTAAGCTGCAATATCTTCAACACTCCCCCTTAAGCTAGGCCCAAAAAAGTAAACTAAGCCAAGCTTGACAACGGAGTCTCAAAGAATGGATAGAGTGACAGGTTTGGTGAAAACATTTGCAACCTGATCACTAGTTCCAATAAACGATACAGTGACAATACCACTACTAACCTTCTCCCGAAGAAAGTGAACATCGATCTCTATATGCTTCGTCCTCTCATGTAATACAGAGTCAGAAGCGAGCTGAATAGCAGATCGATTAGCACAATATAATATAGATGAAGAAGTCACTGGAAATCCCAACTCGCCAAGAATCGATCGTAGTCAGATAATCTCACATGTGCCAAGTGCTAGTGTCCGATACTCTGCCCCTGCTAATGAGCGGGAGACAACTAACTGTTTCTTGCTCTTCCAAGAGATAAGATGAGTCCCTCGAAAAGTACAGAAGCCCGTAGTAGATCGACCGTCACACGCTCTCCCATAATCTGAATCTGAATAACAGGCTAGAGAACTAGTCTGAGATCCTGATGCATAGAACAACCCAAGTTCAGGACAAGACTTGAGGTACCGAAGAATATGATAAACTGCATCAAGATGAGGCTGACATGGTTTGTGCATGAACTGACTAACTCGGCTGACAGTGAATGAAATGTCTGGCCTAGTGTTGGCTAGGTAGATAAGTCTACCTACCAATCTCTAATAGATAGTCGGATCTCTCAACTCCTCACCTTCAGCAGTAAGCTTCAGGTTTAGAATCATGGGTGATGATGCCGGTTTGCACCCTAGCATCTCAGTGTCTGAGAGAAGATCTAGAACATACTTTCTCTGAGAAAGAACAATACCCCTACTGCTACGGGCAACCTCAATCCTAAGAAAGTATTACAAAAATTCAAGGTCCTTTACATCAAAAGCCTTCCCAAGGTTTACCTTGACCTGTATAGTCCCCGAAACATCATCTCCAGTAATAATAATATCATCAACATATACCAAAAAGATAATACACTATCTAGAAATATTCCGTCGAATGAAGCAGGTATGATCAGAATGACATATGGTAAACTCTTTTAGTCCATAAAGAGACTTACGCAGTCAACATATCTTTCCAGCATACTCCCCCTTACCATAAAAGTCCGGTGGTGCATCCATATAAATATTCTCGTCCAGATCACCGTGAAGAAATGCATTCTTTACATCCAACTAATAGAGAGACCAAGAGTACTCCGCAGCTAGAGAAATAATCAATCGAACAATAGTCAATTTTGCCATGGGGGCAAAGGTAGCAACAAAATCACGACCTGATACCTGAGTAAAGTCCTTCGCCACAAGCCTATTTTTGTGACGATCAATAGTACCATCCGTAAGAAAATTCAGGGATTAAACTCAGCAACAGCCAATAGGCTTTACTCCTGAAGGTAAAGAGGCAAGATCCCACGTAAGACTACGCTGAAGAGCGTCTTTCTCCGTCTACATGACAAGAACCTACTAGGGCTCCCTCATAGCCTCTGAAACAAAGCAAGGAACCGGCGTATTTGATAAGGCCATACTATAAGTTTGAAATGTAGGAGACAAATCACCATAAGACACATAAGCAGAAATCGGCTATACAGTCCAAGCAGTCCAACCATAACGAACAACTGGACGACGACCACGCTACGGATAACGACGCCCTAAATCATCATCCTCCACTGACAGTGTCTCATCAGAGAAAGTAACTGGCTTAGTATCATCAATCTCATCAGTACTAACAACAGATACATCAATATGCTCAACGAACTGAGAAGTATTACCTGCATCGCTTGAGGTAGAGGGGACATTAGCAAAGGGATGAGAGCGAGGGCGACGAACATAAACCTGCAAAGGAAAAGAGACCGGTGACTCTGTGTTGACTGGGACGAGTGGTTCTAGAGGAGAGACTGATGACTCTATAATGATAGTGATCAATGACTCTAGCTCTTGTGGTAACGAAAAATCAAAGGGAGTATCATCAACTAGAGGGGCAGACACAGGATTGAAAGAAAAATAAGGAATGTGCTCAAAAAATGTAACATCTAGACTGTGATACATATGGGGCTTGATAAGATCATAACACTGATACCCCTTAAATTGATGACAATAGCCCACAAAGACACAACGAATCGCTTTATCATCAAACTTATATCGAGTAGGAGACCGACCCTGAACAAAACATGTGCAGCCAAAAATACGAGGGGGGACCGAAAAAAATGTTCACTTAGGAAATAAGACTTGTAAAGGAGCCTTATACTGAAGAACACGACTCGGTGTACGATTGCACATAAAGGTAGAAGTTAAAACAGCAAAATGCCAATAAGATTTTGGTACTCCCATACCTCTAAACATACAACGTACCATCCCTATTAGACTCATATTTTTCCTTTCAGCAACTCTATTTTGCTTAGGAGTATATGGACAAGTGAGCTGTTGAAGGATACCCTGAGAGGAAAGGTGAGACACTAAGGCATTGGACAAATATTCTTTGGCATTATCCAAACGAAGAGCACGAACAATGACATCGAATTGTCTTAATCATCTGAAGAAACTGAGTGATGACAGGGAGTTATCAGATTTTCTATGCAAAAGGTAGACCCAAGTACAACGGGTATAGTTATCTATAAATGTCACATAGTATCGAACACCTGATAGAGCAGTAACAGGAGAGGGTCCCCAAATATCAGTGTATCAGATTAATTGGTTTAGGTGATTGGTGTATGTGAGGAATATAAC